CGACAAATCTGCGGCAACTGTGTGATGCCATCATGTCAATATGGACCAAAATCTCTGAGGAATGCTTCCAGCACCTTGTTGAATCTATGCCACAAAGAATTGAGGCAGTTCTGAAGGCAAAAGGGGGTCCAACCCGTTACTAGCGTGGTGTACCTAATAAAGTGGCCGGTGAGTGTATATCATATATACCATATATGGGGTGGCTGTGATGTAGTGGTAGAGCAGCCAGCTTTGGGACCCACAAGTCACAGGTTCGACTACCCACCATGTAACAAATGTAATTTGCTATCATCAGTGTGTGAATGTGTGTGTGCATGGGTGAATGTCTGTAAGTGTAAAGTGCTTTGAGTGTCCTGTATGGATAGAAAAGCGCTATACAAGTACTGTCCATTTACCATTTATCAGAGGGATTACGGAACTTATCCAAAGGACTCTCAAGAAACACCACATTAGTTCAGCTATCAAACCACACAGAAAACTTAGACAAATGCTGGTATATCTTAAAGACCAAATAGAGCAAGATAGAAAATGCAATGTCATATATGAAATACCATGCCATACCTGCAATAAAACATATACATACTGTACGAGGAGACAGGACAATCCTTGGCTACAAGGAAGAAAGAGCATCAAAAATAATGTGAGAAAGAAACAGAAGAAAGACTAACATGAACCAAAAAAGAAAAAGCTTTGCAAGAAAATTGTAAGTCAGCCATCACGGACCACTGCAAAAGGGAAAATCATGTTATGGATTGGGAAGGAACCAGAATCATCCGCAAAGAGGATAACAAACACCAGTGTTGGATCATGGAGGCGATGCTGGAGATTAGAAAGCGAGCCCACACAGCTATAAACTGGGATGAGGGGGCCTACAAGCTCTCATATACCTGGAATGACATCCTCCAGCAGTGAAGCCAGCAGGAGGAGGTGTCGGCTTGTCAATATATCTTGACTGTGACACCTCTGATGAAGACGGAAGCACACGTCGAAACATGTCAGGTATGTCTGTAAAGACATAAAATAACAAAGTGTCTAGTAACTATGAAAAATTTTAAGATCGATATTACCAATACCAGAACTTCATGCTCTAAAATCGATACTAAAATCAAAATATCGATAATTTGATACTTCAATTGTTTTACATAATGAATATCATTAACAGGAAAATAGTGGAAAATAGCTAAACAATTCAAATCTTGTCTAAATCAAATGTGGTTGGAGGGAACTACTTTTTCTTCCTCTTGGGAAATGCAAAAGCAGAGTGGTACATGCTCAGTCAGTCACTCAGTCTGTAGAAGAATGGCAGGTCATTTTAACATAAAATCTGCTTCTTCTGACTCTGTAATTACATTCTAGATGAGGGGTTCCCAAACTTTTTCATGCCATGGCCCCCACAAACTGCATTAGTTCTGGCCAAGGACCTTCTTGTAAACCCACAAACAATGCTACAAAATATACACAGTAACAACTTTTACAATGTTTTTTCACACTTTTATTCACTATTCAAAAATTTTTCTATTTCTTTAGAATAAGAATTTTAAATTGCACTAAACAAATACAATAAGGTTAGAAAGACCTTTTAAATTAATAAATAAA